CCCTTAAGTAAAAAATTTAAAAGAAACTTGTCTTGTATCAACTATCAACTTCTATACTCTACTATAAATGATATGAATTTGTCATACGACTAATTTGTTTTGCTATAGAATATCTCAGCAAAGTGGTATAGTCTGTAAAAACTGGTGAAGAATTTCTGCCAGAAACTAATCAATAGGGGAAAGGATTATCTGGCATGGAATGAACAATAAAACTGGAATTACGTCAAGTGTTCTTTAACCTAGCATCACAGGAAATTCATTGAAGCCATTACTTCTTTAAAAGCACGAAAACAAATCTCTGTTTGATGCATGAGAACATATAGAACAGAATATAAACTTGATCAGAATTTAAATCACTAACTCTTTACTGTATAGACATATTATTCATTAATGGAGGTTAGATGAAACATATCAAATAGTAAAAATATCAAAAATAGTACTAATAATACATTCACTGATTCATGAAATTTAGCCACCATTCAATAAGAAACATTTGATCTTAAAGCTGCTTGGATGAATCATAAATGAAGCTATTCAAAAGATGTAATTCTATCTCAACTAACTATATAAAGTACAATCAATAAAATGCCAGAAACATTAGTAAGCTGATGATAAGTTAAGTCTTTAAAATTCACTTGCACATAATTATTTATACATGTGACAGTAAATTAACACTAAAGCCCTTAGAAAGAGGTCCATCAAACTTACAGTAATAACTTAACAATAGCTTTAATATTAAAATTTTGATAAAACTTTATAGGATTAGTTCTGATAGTCTTTAAATGATCAATAGATTAAAAACTGTGTATAAGAAATGGCTAAGACTGACTTATACCTTAATAAACCCATCTGTAAATCTGGCACCAATTGCCATCATTTGCCATGGCATGAAGAATGATCTATGATAGTGGAGTAATTGGAACAAACATATCTTTACACACAGAATGGCCAAACAGATTTAGCCAGCACATCAAAATGCCAAGACTTCTACATCTAGAAACATCTTGTATAAGCAATATTTCATCAATGTATGCATCAATCTACATCAGATAGTCTATAATCATCAGGAGAAGTGATTAATCATGTATTTTCTACAATCTCATTTTATTTTTATTTTTACAGTTTGAATGTTCAACAATAGTTATAATACATTATTTACATAGAACAACCCTACGCCATCATTTAATTATAATAATGAATTGTCTGGTGTATTCTAGGGGTAAATTTGTCTGTACAAACATATTGGATTCTCAGGGAGTAAATTTATGTATTGAATAAACGCCTGCAAACTATCAATTATGTGGCTGCTCCCTAATTGATTGTACTGAATAATTAATGTATACCTTTGAATATAAAGACAGCCCACCAATGTTACAAGCTTTCCATCATATAGACTTTAATGAAAAGTAATATACTAATTGATAACAACTTGATACAATTACTGAAACTCTTTCCTATCAATATCCAGTATACATTTATTGGAACTTATTAATTGTTAAAACATATAGAAATCTAAACATTTTATTTCATATTTAAAATTATTACTTTAACTGAAACTTTAAATGGCAAAGACTGTGATGGTTTATCTGGTTGTAAACATACAATATTGTATATCACACAATGAGTCAGAAACTTCAAGTTTGTGAAATCTTTTTATTATATCAGCACTCAGATCAAAGCAAATCAATTTTTCACAGAAGAAATGAAGTTGAATAATGTTAAATATTTATTTTTGTCTCAGTGACATTGACCTTGCAATATGAGATACCACACAATATCAGAGGTCTATACATGGCACCTACCTAATATAAACATCATGGAAACACAAGGCTATCTGATTTGCACAAGGGGGCATTTTGCCCCTGAGTATAATCAGATTGGCAAGTGTTTTCTGGAATCGTATGCAAAAGTTTAAATACTCCCTGTTTTCACAATCGAAATATAGCCAGTCTACTACACATGCTCTATTTCATCCACAACAGATTAATCATTTATGGGTATAAAAGTTGACACATTTTCAATAACTATGATACAATGTTAAGTTAAGTAACACGGCAACAATATTACTTACATTTTTTTAAAGAGAACTTTTATTACACCTCTTTACCCTAAATGAAAGTGATTAGCCTTTGCCACCAGTACTGTTTTTGATACTGTTGCATTTTTCTGAATGAAAGTTCTGAACATTGTACCATTTAATTGACTACAATTAAACCAAAATAGAAATACTGGAATGGAATAAAAGCTATAATGAATGATTTTAATCAGACTGTCTGTCTAGTGTCTGCTGAAATAAATAACTAATGTTGCACAAGTATGTTTTAAGTAGTTGTAAGTCTGCTGTATATATTCATTTCATCAATCAACTACTGAAATTACTTTGCAAAAAATACACCCAAAATGACCCATTACTGATCATATATATTTAAAACTGTGCAAGCATACATTTTATGTAACTGAACAAATTGGAGGAATGATCAGAGAATGCCATGAAAGATCATGTTGGATATGAAGTATTTTATGCTCACATTACACTGTGGATGAGTATAATGTGAGCATAGAGAACTTGTTTATTTTGCCAACCCATTGGCATAATATGCAAAATCATTTAAATGTTTGCGGATTTTTTGATGGGAAAACCTTTTTACAAATATATTACATCTAAGGGGAACTAGGACCACAACTAGCCATAAACAATAGCACCCAAAAGTTAAATTTTTTTTGGGTTAATCAAAAATAATCTTTCAGTTAGAGAAGAGACCCAATCATGAATTTTGTCTAAAATTTGTCATGAATTTTGTCTAATTGTTTTAAAAGGTGGAAGCATTTTTACCCTAGGTGCATGTTTCATAAAACTTTGATAAACAGGTCTAGTAGACAATGTTATATGCCAAATATAGATGCATCATAGATGTGCTTGGTCTACATAAAGCAAAGTGGACCCCAAGGGCATGATTGATGTAAGTTTTGTAGATTTCCACAAGGTCATTCCATTTGCTATATATCTTAGCTCTTGGCATTGTAGTTTCACAAAATTAGACTTAACTTGGTTTTTCTCTATATAAGTCTATATAATAAGTCTATATTAATTAAATGACTCCAAGGGTTTCCAATGTATTGACCAAAGGGGCATGATAAAAAATTACTGTCAGTTTTGTGGAGGCCCATATTTAAGGAAACTTAGCTACAAGAAAATTATCTTAGCTCTGGGCATTGAAGTTTCATATGATGAGACTCAAGTAAGTTTCCTATTGATCTCTGTAACAAATATTGATCTATGTTACTGATATTGATCTATGTAACATATATTGATCTATGTTACTGATATTGATCTATGTAACTGATATTTATCTATATAACAAATATTGATCTATGTAACAACTATTGATCTATGTAACAAATATTGATCTATGTAACAAATATTGATCTCTGTTACTGATATTGATCTATGTAACTGATATTGATATATGTAACTGATAATGATCTATGTAACAACTATTGATCTATGTAACAAATATTCATCTATGTAACTGATATTAACCTATGTAACAAATATTGATATATGTAACAAATATTGATCTATGTATAAATATAGATCTATGTAACTGATATGGATCTATGTAACTGATATGGATCTATGCAACAACTATTGATCTATTGATCTAAGTTATAAATATTGATTTATGTAAATGATATTTATCTATGTAACAAATAGTGATTTATGTAACAAATAGTGATCTATGTAACTGATATTGATCTATGTAACAAATATTGATCTATGTAACAAATATTGATCTATGTAACAAATATTGATCTTTGTAACAGGTATTGATCTATGCAACAAATATTGATCTATGTAACAAATATTGATCTATGTAACAAATATTGATCTATGTAACTGATATTGATCTATATAACAAATATTGATCTATGTAACAACTAATGATCTATTGATCTATGTAATAAATATTGATTTATGTAAATGATATTGATCTATGTAACAAATATTGATCAATGTAAAAGATATTGATCTTTGTAACAAATAATGATCTATGTAACTGATATTGATCTATGTAACAAATATTGATCTATGTAACAGATATTGATCTGTGTAACAAATATTGATTTATGTAACAAATATTGATCTATGTAACAAATATTGATCTATGTAACAAATATTGATCTATGTAACAAATATTGATCTATGTAACAAATATTGATCTATATAACTGATATATATATAACAAATATTTATCTATGTAACAAATATTGATCTATGTAACAAATATTGATCTATGTAACTGATATTGATTTATGTAACAAATATTGATATATGTAACAAATATTGATCTATGTAACTGATATTGATTTATGTAACAAATATTGATATATGTAACAAATATTGATCTATCTAACTGATATTTCTGTCTCTGTACTGTTCTATAATTAATGCAGGTTGTTTCCCTTATGTGTATACAAAGACCACTAGAATCAAGAGGATTAAAATTGTTTCTACGCTAAATGTAGTTCTGCACATTTTAATCAATTCTCTTCTTTATAAGCATGTTTGAATTGATATAGATATTTTTTCTTCCACTATAGTAATATAGTAATATAATGCACAGTTTATCATTCAAATGCTTTGTAATTAAATCACTCAGGCCTCTTGATTTGCCTTCGTGATTATATTCCTGCACATCTGAACCCGAGTTTATTCTACAACAATGCACTTAAAATTGATATCTACATGTATTTCCTAAATAATTTATACAATAGTTAGTAAAGTACTGAAAGAAGATGGGCAAATGATAATATTTTACTGTTTTATTTATAAGCTAAAAGATGTTTTATAATATAAATAAATAAATGTAAATCAATTTTTCAAATAATATAAATGCTTTGAAAGAACTTTGCCTTTCAATAATTTGTAAAACAAGCATCTGTACACTATCATATTTTCATTTCAATTGGGTAACAATTTGTTATGTTTATAAACTTACGCTATTCTTCTTCTTGCAACATCTCTGCTCAGCCTACTAGCAAGATATTCTCCTATTCTATCTAATTTCTCAGGTGATGACAACGCATAGAATGTTAATTTATCCATGTTGTTTTTTACAAGCCCATCCTGTTTGTAGAAATATCAAAGAAAACATATAAATTATGTAAATTATTAAAAACTATTATACAAAATTATTGTAAAAGATACATATAATTTGGAATACATTTAAGATTTATCATCTTGTTCCCCTAAAAGGAAATAATGTACCTTTATATTTTTATCAATTGAATCCAAACACATGTATGTTTATCTATATGTACATACTTTTATTATCCTATTGTACAACCCACTGAATATGTATATATACGAAAATAGGCCATTTAATTTTAAAATACATATACAGTTTTTCGTTTATTCACAGTATTACTTGCCCGAATAATGGGATATAATATTAAAAATACCCAATAACAATGGAGGATTAGAAAATAATAAATATAAATTATAAGAAGTAGAGTTACCTCTGGGTTAACGGGAAAGATGTCATCTACAAGCCTCTTGTATCTAGGCCTCATGGCCTTACAGCAGCCCATACAAGCTGAAAAATATATATATATATATCAGTGATAAATTGACCTTTGCCAGTATAGAGCCCGGCCAGTTTGTATAACTGCATCTACGTAACATCTATAAGTTAAACTGTCAAACTTTACATTTCTTTAAAGGTGCACAAGAAAAAAGACAAAAGAGAAATAACATAGGAAAGACGGAATAAAGACACTGACACAGATTATGCCAGTACAAGTTAAAAAGAAATCAAGCAGCAGTAACAGTTGTACACAGTTACTTTTCAGCCATCTAGGCAAGACCAATCCAGCTTCCGTGGCAGTTCCCATATTCCAGACCCTGCAGGCATAGCTTAAGCCCTTCAATTGGTGGTACTTTGTAACTGTGCATGAAAATCCCCTTTAGGGCTACTGTATCCTGGTATAGACCCCAGAGTCTAAACCAGGTGTATTATATATATAATATATGGTTCATGAATTCCGTTTTCTTTAGTTATTTATATACAAGTTTTACTTCTGAAAAATACATAGGGGATTACCGAATAATGTGGCTACATCAATGTTAGCTTTGAGATTATCATAATCATGATAATGCTGATAGTTCAGTGATACTGGTAAACAGATAAACACACAGACACTTGGGGTGTGGAGCTTAAAACGCCTTTAAAATCCAAATAAAATGTATATTTGTCAATCCCAGCACATGTACTGATCATATATATCAAAAAAAACTTATTATAAGCCGTTTTGAAAAAATTTCATATTTCAACATCTATAATAATTCACAAGATAAAAATGTTCACCAGAAAAATCCGCACACCTCAGGGATTTTTTTTGTCTCATTTTATAGCCGGTATTGGAAAATAGTAGTATATTATTTTCCCAATCCACAGGAAAAAATTCCCAATTGAAAGTTAAAAAATAAAAATATTGAATAAAAATTCAAAAATCTTTTGCAAATAAAGGCTTCTTCACTGTTATAGTGCTTAAATGTTTGAAGATGCCATCATAGACAGAAGTTGTTTGCATCCCAAATCCTGAGGGCGAACCATCCCCAACCATGCCTGACATAGAGATAACCAACAAGGGAGTGCTTACTCTACTCAGGAAGCTCAACCCAAAGAAGGCAGCAGGCCCAGACATGATCTCTGCGCGCATCCTGAAGGAGATGGCTGAACAGTGTTCATCATACCTGGTCGTCATCTACAATAAGTGCCTCTCTTCTGATAGCATACCTGAGGTGTGGATAACAGCCAACGTGTCAGCCATATTCAAGAAAGGGGAGCGCTTCAAAGCCAGCAACTATAGACCAGTATCCCTCACCTGCATAGCCTGCAAGATGCTGGAGCACATCAATCGTTACCAACATAAATGAATTCATCTGCTGAACAGCTCACAAGATACTAACTGACAGCCAGCATGGATTAAGAAGAAGGCGGAGCTGCGAAACCCAAGCTACTAACGCTGACAGAAATGGAGCTCACCTGGAAGTCCATGGACCAGCGTAAACAACATGAAACCTCGCAGTACTGGACTTTAGCAAAGCCTTTCGACCGCGTCCCACACAGTCGCTTGCCTAGTCAAGCTCCATCATTATGGCATCAAAACCAATACCCTGAAGTTTGATTGAGGCATTTCTCACAGGCCCGCACTCAAGCGCATAGTTGTTGATGGAAGCAACGTCCGACCCAGCACCAGTTAAATCAGCGGTGTCCCCCAGGGAAGCGTGCTCGACCCAATACTCTTCCTGGTCTTCATCAATGACCTGCCACTTCATGTTCAATGTCCAAGGCCAGGCTCTTTGCTGACGACTGTGTGGTATACCCGTGGAAAATTCGCCACTTGAAGAGGGACTGCCACATTTTACAGGGATGACCTGAAGAAGCTGGCAATTGTGGGAGAAAATCTGGGGCATGACTTTCACCCAGAGAAGTGGCAGCCATAATCAGGGTCCACAGGAAGAGGAACCCCATCATATACCCGTACTCCTTTGAAGGGCCACATTACTCGAGATAAGAACTTGACAACCAAGTAACCTCGGAGTCCATATGTCTGGAAACCTCTCCCTGGAAACCCAACATGTTGACAAGATTCGTGAAGAAAGGGCAACAAGTACAATCGGCTTTCTTCGAACGCAACCTGCGCATCCCGCAATGAACAGGTCAAGAGCACAGCTTACATGTCACTCGTGTGACCAAAGGCCTTTGAATATTGCTCCACCGTCTGGAACCCTTATACCAAGGACCTTACACGCAAAGCTCGCAGATCGGTCCAGAGCCGAGATCTGCAAGATATGTGACGAAACCGTTTACCACAACACCAGCAGCGTATCCTCCATGATCCAACACTTGGAGTGGGAGACATTAGTTGTCACGACGGACCAAAAGCCCAGCTGACCATGAATGTTCAAAGATCACTCAATGACCTTGTGGACATACCAGTCAGCGATTATCTCACCCCTGCCCCCAAGCCGCACTAGAAGTGACCAAACTCCAAAAGTTCCATAGATCTAACCATCCATATCTACATCGTACTAACAAGAACTCCTTCTTCTCTGGTACAGCACAACGTTGGAAACAGCCCTACCTGCCTCCGTTGCAGAGGCCCCTGGACTTTGGTATCCCTTCAAGCAGGGCTATCAGCCCTACATTCTAATCAGCCTTAGGGGCCCTGAGCCTACAAGTAACCCACTAGTGATATCCAAGGCTGTGCACGGCCGGCGCCACCGTAACCGGAGAGGTTTGGGTTGAAGAGGCGAAATGTAGGCTGGCCAGACTTTTTGTCCTATATCTCTTCCTTTTGACCCTATCTCAAACCTCTTCTAACATTTCTTGTATATTTCCTTTTTCTTGATAGCACCACCCGTGGCATTTCTTGTATGATTTCGATGTAGAATCCCATTTACATCCATTGCAAAATTTCAGCAATGCATTTTTTTTTCATTTTAACAAAAACACTGCTGACCAAATTCCCATAGAGTATGGGTCGTATTCCCCAAAACTTTGAATCAATCCCTGATAACCGCGTTAAAAATCCAACATTTAATTTTATTCCATTTCCAACGAATACGACACAACTAGAAGAACAATTCTTCACCGATGATGGTCCAATTTTAAAAACTTCAAACGGTAAATATTTGCAACGCCTAAACTAAACATCAAGAATTATCGCCGTTTTACTCCATTTACAAAATCTTTCGACAAATTCAAACATGGCTCCCCAGATTTGCCGTATACAAATACACCCAGGTGCTTTGAATTATGGGAACCAACATTTTACCGAATGGTTCCCATCTGCATAGAACAGCGCATTTTCATACGGCAAAGCTGAGGAGCCACCTTTGATTTTGTCGAAAGTTGTGAAAATATTGGTAATGGACTAAAATACATGGTGATTTTGACAGTAGCAGATTTTTGTGTGCAGATTTTTTTTCGGCGAACATTTTTATCTTGTGAATGTGACGAAAAATAGCCTGATACCTATATTTATTAACAGAGTTATTTCCCTTTGTTTTAGAAACCCTATTTGCATGGTAAAAAGAAAACAAACGTATATGAAACGTAGGTAAATAGTATTGATATATTGTGATTTGTTTATGTTTTAGATCTCTTAAAGACTTTAGAATTAGTTATTTAAGGAAGCTAATATAAATATGATTATTGTTTATAAGTAATAGATTTTTAGACACTTGTCAAACAAGTTAATCATTAAACTTTAAGCCGCTCTTTGAACAAGAATATTCTTAGCCAGCCAATCAGATTAAGTAAGGTTTAGATTGATTTTCTTTGGGTTTATCAGAGATCAGGGGGGGTTTTTTGTTTAAATATAAAACAAGACACGAAGATTTAGAGAGTTGCAGCTGAGCTGTAAAGGGAAAGGTCAGAAAAATAAATAAGCTTATCAGCTAATTTATTACGGGGGTTTGTCCCGTAAATAAAACATAAAAAGTTTGATCAATTTTTAGAGCAAGGTTCGATATTTTAAAACTTTAAAAGCATTGCGTTTGTTTTCAGGTTTAAATTTTAAGTTATTTTAGTTTTTACGGGGTGCTGGTAAAATTAATAAAAGGGCTAAAAATATAGATGTAAAGAGTTTATTGATGTGAAAATTAGTAGGAATTTTATAAAAAGCAAACCCATAAGGGACATATTTTCCCCTTTGGGGTTGTTTTATAAATAGAAACCTTGATAAAGTAAACTGCTTAAGCTATATTGAAAACATCGTATCTTAATTAATTCCCATTGATTTTACTGTTATTTAAATCATTTAAGAATCATTTATTACCAATCATAAGGCAAAGTTAGTTCTGGCTTCCAAAACTTTATAAGCCGCTATTTAACGTTTTTGTTTTTCATCTGATGCGGCATTAAAGTTTTGGATTAGACCCGTTACGTAACCTAACCAGAATAACATAAGTTGATTTATTCTTATTTTTCACTTGCAAATACACTTGAACCAATCGATTCTTGTACGATAAAACAATTATTTTAATATCATTCTATACCAATTAAAGTATCAAAATATCAATACCGTCATTAAAATTGCATATTTAACTGTAAAACATCAATTTACGCCGACTACAGTCGGCCATGACATTCAGGTGCCACACGAGACCTCGTATGACGTCATTCGCTGGAACCGATTTGAATAGAGTCGTGTACTATATTTAGAACATTTTGTTGACAATGGTTTCGATGTTTTTATTCAAGATAATGTTTTTATTTATTTTCATTAATTTTTTAGTACTTAAATATGATTTTATTGAATATAAAAGTCAGTAAATCACCTTTTTCAATATCTTTTTAAAAAGTAATTTATAAAAATATTGGAAGCACATGGGTTCGTAAAGGTCAATCTCGTAATCATGTGGTCAAACATTTTGGCAATATGGCGGCCAAGTGCCGAAATTTTTACCTGTCGGAAACTATTAGGTAATTTATGTTCGTAATAAGATTTTTATTTGTCCATCCTTGGCTTATCAACAGATTTAGATTATATATAGTTTTATCAAGGTATGCTTCACTTTACTTCATGGCATGTTCGATGAATGAATACGAGCGTGTCAGATTCCTGGCACGATTATTGGTAAACTTTCCCTACGGGGTTGTCTTCAGCGTTCACGTCATGTCATAGTATATAAACGGGTGCGCTGAAGACCTTAAGCTAAAGGCAAAGTAGCCTGAGAAAAATTATACATATATATTATACGGGGAAGTCAAAGTCCGGGCTCGCGAAGCGGGCCCGGGCTTTGCCTTGCCCGGCTATAGACTACACGCGTATATTTAAAAGAAAATCAAATAAAAAAAAATATATAGAATTCTATACTTATCAATGAAATTTTCAGTGTCAGTTCTAGTTAGGCGCCGCCTTTACAATGTAATCAAAGAAAGGGGGGTATTTGATAAAGGGAAAAAATCTCAACTTTTTGATTAATAAAAAATGTCAAGGTTCCAGGTAAAAGGAAACGGGTATATATAATCCCAATAACACTTTAAAAAGGGAAAAAAAAGAAAAGGGTAAAAATTATAAAAAACGAAAATGATTTTTTTCAAAAGGCTTATTAATTTTTTTATAATAAAATCAGTAAAATTTCTGGGGGTTTTTACAAAAATATATCTTATTTGGTTTTAAAAAGTTTAAATAAAGGCGTTTAAAAAATGTTTTAAATCCAACCCAATTTTTGTCAGGGGTAAGCATCGTAAAGGGGTCAGCTGAAAATGATGGAAGCCAAAAAAGAAATCCCCAAATAATTTAAGTCATAAATTTCAATAGAATGTCATGCAACATACAAATGTTTATCACTTACCCATCTTCAATTGTTTAATAATTTTAATATTTTGACATGCCGAGTTGCGTCCCTTGATTCGAAACTACGGCTGTAATGTGTTAAATTTGAACGAAATAAACTTTTTAACAAAACAGTCACTTTAAAACAATAAAAATATATGGAATTTAATTATGATAATCTTAAATTAACAATCATATTCTAGTTATCATTGTTTTTTATAAGTTCGAAATTTTTATGTACTTACATTACTAGCTCTACTCGTTGAAAGCCCCAGTAAGACGTCAACAAAAGAGTCTGTTGTTGAATTAAGATTAAGTCTGATTTCTGTTCATTTAAAAGATGGTATGTTTTCAATTCTCTTGAGATTGTGTCAGAAATATGCTCATTTATGAATATGAAATATTTTGTGAAGCTGACATGATAAATTCTGAAAATTACTTGTGAAATAAATTTCTCATTGACGTGAAGGTAGCTGTTGATTTTCAGTGTTGACACAGACACTTGGGGTTATGTGCGTGGCTCCCCTTCTTGATCGGCACTTGTATACAACATGTAAATTTTTATCGTGCAAACGGTTTGTCAAAAATATTTTTGCATATTATTATGAACTGGTCACATATCTTGAAAATAAAACTTGTTTTCCGCTATTTTAACACAGGTACGTATATTAACGGTATCCGCAACTCTATACAGTAAATCAATAACGGTAAATTATGCTGTCGTGGCAGATAATCCATTCAGACTGCCGATCGTTATTGATTTTTATCGACGATTACATATCATTAAGCGGTGTGATATTTGACCTTGGTTATTTAAATTACCGTCAACATGTTATTTTCTGTTCAATTTTTTAAAAGTAACATAATCTAGAAAGCTGAAAGATAGATTTTTTCAAATATATATTTTATAAATCAGTGCGTTTAGTATGAAGAAAATTACGACGAGTTAAACACAGAGTTTGTATTTTTTGTCTCCCGATTATGTCAAAACTTCAGTAAAAATAATGATGCCCTCTTCGAACAAATATAAGATTTTTTCGTAATTTATGGTGCGAATTTAGCAAAATACCTATCAAAAGAAAGCTGAGAATTTGATCTTTTTAACCGTGTAATTATCATTTACAAAGCTAAATTATTTCCGGAATTGTAACGAGTAAAAAACGCAACTTTTACTACCAGCCAAATCGCGACTGCACACGAAAGAAATTTTATATGTACATGTAGTAACAAGTTATTATTGTTTCGTCATTTTTTTGCCGAAATTTGTGAAAAATTATTTCTAAAAAGCTTATAAACTGTAGTTTTAATTTTTTTATTTTTCAATTTCTATTGCGTATCTTAAATAAATGCGGATAAGATATCGTGAAGAATCACATGACCAAAATCATCTTGCATATTTCGAACGCAACTTTTACCATATATTTAACTTATTAAGCCCTTTATATTTTTTTATTTGAACATTGTTTTAAAGAATGAAGTTATCTATCTATCTATTTTTAAAATTGAATAAAAGTATGATTATATAATTTTCAAACTGCACCAGAAAAGAGCTCTTATAAAAATGTTCGTTTTCTCAGGTACGTACGTATATTTTTCTGAAAAACGGCCTAAACATTTTTTGTTATGAAAGTATTGTGAAAAATAAGTACATTGTACCGTCATAATTGATGTTTGCTGCAGATTCAGTAATTGATTTAATCACGGTTATTAATGTGCATCTATTTAATTGTTCAATTGTGATAGTTTTCACACTTTTTCTATCAGTCGGTCCTGTTTGAAACTGCTTTTTAGTGGGTAAGGCTAGATTATTACTATATCCAGTTAATTGTTTTTATTTAAAGCATATTCTTGCTTTTTATACAATTATATTGAGCAAACTGTTTCACCACTACATATGTCAGTATCTTTCAGGTTCTCTTGAATGAACGTACATTTTTTCGAGAGAATAGACATAAAGGTATTGGAAATAGTAGTATCGGGTACCTGGTAGTAAAAAAAAGAAATAAAAATGAAAACACATTAGTTTTGCCTTTTATTTTATAACTGGATTTACATAAAACTTCAATAGCATCGCACTGGCTATAAAATGACTGTTTATAGTGTTTTCATTTAGTGTCACTTTATTCCCGAAATTTATTTGACACTTCTGGGACTCTCCTGGCACAAGCTGCAAATCTTTGAACTTTTGGGCTGTATCAGCATTCAGTGAAATTGTCGTGCTGATCTACCACTTGAAACCCTTGAAGCACATTTGTTACGATCTGAAATAGATGAAATGACATTTAATATAAATACTTTGTTTTATCAACAGAATAACCATGTACTAATGTTAATATACGTACCTGGAATAACTAACAAAAAAGAAGTTGAATATAACTTCTGAGTAAATGAAAAAAAAACTGGGGGAAATTTCATCCATTTTCAAAAGACCATAGCATCAAAAATATTCAGTTGAAAATTATAAATAATACCACACCCCATTCACAATAATGTAGTAACTAACTTTAAAGCTTTCATTTGTATTTTCAAGGTCTTTAGATACCTCTGATGTTTGGGCCAAAATAGGTCGTGAATTTATTTTTGCACCGCAAAAATTTACAAATTTCCTTCAAATTTCACGCCACAAAAACAACAGATCAGATGATGAGGGAGCCTTAAAAGTACCTACATAACTTACTTTAATATATTCTAAACCGATTTGTGCAAGTTAAATCAGTTTTCTACAAGTAGGTTAAGCCTGATAACTCTGCAGATTTTATACATGTTCACCCGTTTTTAACAAATATCCGCCATTTTGTCGATCTCATTCATACAGACTGGAAATTTCCACACCCGATTTACGCCATTTGGAAGCGTAATCTAGTAAAAATACAGGTACATAACAAAAACATAAGACTTACCTGTCATTATTTCTTGAGTATTTTGTGCCGATGCTTGTAAATTAACACTTAATTTACAGATTTTTCATCAACAAAAATTGCTCCGTCCGCCATCGATTAAATTTTTTTGAAGCATGTGCGCATGCGCACGACCGACACGACAGCAATCTCGTTCTAAAACCTTGTTGCGGATACCGTTAATATACGTACCTGTTTAACAACGTTTAAAAAAGTCCCTAAAATATCATAATTTCATAAAGATAACAACATACTCTTTCCTTTGACGGGAGACGACTGGAATGAGTTTCGGCACTGTTTGCGCTTTCATTTATGCCGAGAACCAAACTCCCTACAGTGGTTACTTCCCCTGATCAGTACAGAAACCAAAAATGATATTTAAACCCTAAACAGAAATAAAATTGATATAGATCCATTTGGTTTATTGTTTATCTTTTTTTCGCTTGCATAAACAGTCTGCGAAATAAGGCACAGGCCCGATGCCCGAGGCTAGTAAAATCCAATTCGGACCTGCATTGTGTAGTACTTCATCAGTATAATATGTACTTCCAATAAGATTTACGTAATGCATATATGTCAATCATTTAAGCAGAGGTCACACTCCTGGCAGAACCCAGGACCACCCCAGTAAGTTACTGTGATGATCCGGGATGAAATTATTGTTGCCGTCACACTTACCCCGTCAGCACTACGGTAATTCCCAACTAACAACCCAGGATGCCCTCCTGACCATCCAGGTGGAGCTACAGTTCAAGACGGTGCTTCCCCGGGTGTTCCCGGATGACGCCGGAAAATCCCCAGTCGATCCAGGCAGAGCCTAGGATGATCCAGGCAGAGTCCCGGTAGAACCCTGCTGGAGTGAAAACGGGGCTCTACCGGGATCAACGGTAGCTCCATCGTCATCTTCAGTAGCTCTGCCCGCATCCTCCGGGGCTCTGCCGGCATTCACCGGGGCTCTGCTGGCATTCACCTTGGCTCTACCATAGCTCTGACCGACAATATCATGCCCTGGATCATCCCCGGTTTGTGCCTGCAGAGCTACCGTGCTTCCCCGGTGTAACCCCGGTCGTTCCCGGCAGAGCTAAGGATGAAGCTGGCAAAGCTATACTTCCAGGATCATCCCCCGACCACCCTGGTGATATGAAATATTCCATTCCATCTGGGGTCGAATGCCAGATGTTTTCGGATCATCCTGGACGTTGCCGTCAGAGTTAAGGATGTACACCTGTTGTTCCCCTGTCGTTCCCGGATCACCCCAGACATCTACCGGGGCTCTGCCGGGATGTTAGTGAGACTGTAGCTGAACGCATAATCTATGTTATCATCTACAGCTATATACAGACAATGCTCGAGTATAATCATAAATGTTAGCGGGTTAAAGAACAAGTTATGGTTATAAAATGGTAAATTTCTGTTAAAGAATAAATTTATTTTTAGATTGACCCATTTAGATTTGTGAACAACAAACATGAATCAGCTAAATTAAACATCTGAAGTGAAACTGGTGATTGGTTGTGTTTCATTAGGGGTATGTTCATGGAATGCAATGCTAAATCCTTTGTTGATATTTGTTTTCATATTTTAAACAAATAAAGTGAAAAGCTGTAGATTGACAAGTTATGTTGAGTATATATAAGAACAGAAAATGAGAATTTTATTGAAAAGTGGCTGAATGATTTTCTGTGAATAAATTGAACCTTAATGATGTGTCTTTATTGTGCACAATAAATGTTTTGGGCCTGTGATATTCTGTCTGGGCCTATACATTGTATTTCTGCCTGGGTTGAAGGCCCATTAATGGCCTATGATCTAAAAAAGTTATTTCGCAGACTGCATAAATATAGGTCATGCGCACGTGGGTAAGACGATAACAACATACATTTTCATTCATAAAAGATTTATATACAAAATTTCTTTTTCCCAGCGATTTTTCAGCTGTAAAATATGTGAAACATTCCAGTCCTCATGAATTCGTAAAAAAGCATGTGACACGGTTAGGAAAATATAATTAAATGTGCAAAGCTTATAAGAAAGGTATGATCGGATAATAACATGTATCTATTTATTAAAAGAATATCATAATGCATTGCCTTATTTACACCAGAAATAAATGGCATGCGATAACATAAACACTTGAAATATAAGTAGGTCAGTTGTGTTTACATTTCAAAGCTTGGTATATTTAGGAAATTGAAGCATTGGTAAAAAATTCACTTTTTTAAAACGTTATGGAACTCTGTTCAAACTTGTTAACGAGTTAGACACTTAACTGTCTCATACTAATATAAGAAAAAATTTAAAACTAATTCTTGTAATAAATAATACTTTTAGTTTTTAATATTCAGGGGCGGAGAAGGGTGGGGTCTATACTCCAAGTGTCTGTGAGTGTTGAGCCAGAACCTGTATTTTACTTTTTACTAGCACAGAGATGATTTTTATATGCCTGAACGAATTTTGGCATTTATTGTTATGCACCTGGTTGTCTGTCTGTCCGTCCGTCTTTTAGCAAATTTTCTTGTCCAGTCTGTACTTTTTTTAACCAGTAGAAGGAAATCGAAACTACATGTACTTGGCAGAAATGTTAACCATAATGAGACAATGTGCAGAGGGCAGGTTTGACCTTTCTCAGGTCAAGGTCACTTAGTCATTTCGTTTCCATTACAAACGATAGAAAGAAATAAAAAAAAATTGCAGAAATATTACTTATATTGAGTTGGTGTGTAGAACAAAAGTTTGGACCTCTTATGTTTAAAATTGGCTCTGCCCCGGGGATAAATTGATATAAAATATATACACTTATATAGGAGTTTACATATTTGCAATTGGTGAACCAGAAGGTAAACAATGAATTTCAAAGTCCTGATATTTTGTGAATCTCTTGAAATTGTGGGGGAAAAAATTGCCGCTTTGTGAAAAAAGTGCAATTTTGAATTGTGAAGGTGCCGGACATCAGCCCCTCTAATAGAATATAAAAATGCCTTGGATTGGGAAATGTCTTTCCAAGTCCAACCAAAAAACGCATTTTTCTCAGTTCTAAAACAATCATTACAAATGTTTCAGTAGAAAGTAAAGTTTACAGTTATCGTCTATAGTATTTGTCGATCCAAAGAGACTGGATTATAAAGACTAGATTGGCCATATTCATTTCATAAAATATTACCACAGATTTGACATTTTTATGATGATGTCAGCAGAAGAAAAAGATTGCAATACAAATTTAAAATATATCACTGGTATGTGTTCAGAGAGCTGAAATAGATTTTTTAATTGTAACAAAATATGTATTTTAATGATTCTTTCAAGAACTGTAGGATGATTTCTGATTTTAACCGTTTAAATTTATTCAAACTAGCAACAGTTTTGCCATTAAATTTTCTGTGCATGAAAATGTAGTTGATTTTAGGCATAATGATTTGACGGTAGGAAATAAAATGTTAGTTAAATGGGTCACACCATTCATGCTTAATTAAATGAGGCTACTAATTAATAACTAAACTAATTGTTAGTAAATCATGAGTCTTGTTATTGAATATTGATATACCATGGTATGAATATGTATATCATCATGAGTCTAATATACCTTGGCATATCCCTGTCATCATGAGTCATTGCTTATTTATAATTTACTTCATCTGCATAACTTCTGAAAGTACTCATTGTTAGCCATGGTGTTGAAACACACACAAAAACTTCGATGAAAATCACATTTTTGACATACTTGATTAGGTGAATAGTTGATGATAGTTTAAGAATTCATTTCCATCAGTGTATACATGTACATATGTACCGTCACTGTATAAATTTGAAACTGATGGTCACTTGTTTTTAGCTGAATCTATTTCACTAGTGTTCAGTAGAATCAAGAAAAGTCATGTAGTGTAAGAATATTGTTTATTATATGTTTATTTTTATATTTTAAACAGGGTGAAAGAAAAGGTGTGAACAAATATTATCCTCCAGACTGGGATCCTTCTAAAGGTTCTATTAATAACTATGTGGGTCAACATCCACTGCGGGATAGGGCAAGGAAGCTTGGCCAAGGTATTCTTATTATCAGGTAAATATTACCTAGATTATGTACAAACTGTATAAAGTATAAAAATTTAAGAGCATTTAAATTTAGAACTTAAGGTTTAGGTGTAAACATATTTATCTAAGCTTGATTGCGAAACAAGTTCTTGCAACTTATAATAATCACTTTCGAGTCCGCTTCCTGGAACAAACCAGTACCGGTGCCTTGAACCAACCAGTAATGGTGTCATATGAGGAAGCATGGTCGTGACCCAATTAGAGCTTGAACCCATGATCCCTGGGTTGAGAGGCAGACACCTTGACCATAAGGCCACTCCCCTTAAACTGAAGAACTGAAGGAAAATATGTTACATATATTTCATTATATCTAACAAAGTAATTCAGAGTTATAATAGTAATAACACTCAAGGATTTCATAAGTTTTAAAGAAGCTAGGGTCATTTTTTTAAAGAGAAACAACATTAACAGGAATATTAAGAACATAACCAAAAAATAACAAAAAAAAATCACAAAGTTAATACAATTTTTAATGATTTTAACACAGAGATTTTTAGTTTGCTCTTTCATATTAAAGCTGAAAAATCATATGACTTGCAGTTTGTAAATCAAAGATGTCATACATGACCAAGTCAGAAATGCCATGGCCTGCAGAATAACATTACTAGATAAAAAAAAAATGTCAAGTCTTGTTATCTCTCATGTCAAATCTTGTTGGCTCTCGAGTCTCTCGGTGAATATACAAAGTTAACTGTTGTTTTTCATGTACAGGTTTGAGATGCCCTATAATATCTGGTGTGGAGGATGTAATAGTCATATTGGTATGGGTGTTAGATATAATGCTGAGAAGTCTAAGGCAGGAATGTACTACACTACACCAATCTATAAGTTCCGCATGAAATGTCATCTCTGTAATAATCACTTTGAGATTCAGACTGACCCTAAGGTAAATTTTATACATTTATTCTCACTAATTTTCAGGTAGATTTAACACTTTTATTCAACAGAAATATCTTTTAAAGTGGATAGTTATATGAATTTTGTAGACATTGTGTATTAATCTGTATTTTATAATAAATGAGATTAAATATGGTGCTCTTACTTCCTTGCTGTATAGCAACCTCTTATATCTAAAGGTGTGATACAGTGTCTAGCTTAGATGTAACTGGTCCATAGTTTGACTCCTATTCAGGGCTAAAAAGTATGCATTCTATTGCAAAAATATATGTCAGGAATTTTTACTTCTTCTAAATTATTTTGTGATTTATTTCTGACTTTTTTTTATGTCATTATATTTTCAACTCGGGGGGAACGAAAATTCTTTTCAGAGCCACTTGTCCTGCAGGACAGGTAGCTTCAAATTTCTACTTGTCCTGCATGCTTTGCTACTCGTCCTGCATTTTTGCCTTGATTTTCAAGATAAACTTTGCCGATACAATACATGTAGTACCTCACCGATGCAAAAGGCTGCTAAAATTCTCACAATCAATTTCTTTACATTAGTTTAACAAACCAAAACCAGAAACTTTATAGGGCATTATCAGACACATTCCAGTCACACCCGTATCCATTTAACAATTAGTCTGGTTCCCTGCCTACATTTACTACAGAACGTATAACATAGTATAAGGGGAAGGAACTCCAGACTAATTAACAATGCGCTCAGAGCTTTATAAAGTGTGCAAGTTATATATAACCTAAAACACAAGCTTTGTTTCTGGTTTTCCATCGTTAAATGTACACAAACTGATTTTGAGAATTCTACTCTAGCTTTCTATTACATTGGCAAATTTTCGCTCGTTCTAACAGACGAGCATACAGCGATTTTGTACTCGTCCTGCATCGATGTCTACTAGTAAATACAAGTGGATGTGTGGAATTTTCGATGCCTGTAACTGTATTTTGGCAAATTTGACATGTCTGTTATGTCTCGTATATCTGATAAACATGTATGTACAGCAAAAGCAAACTTTTATAAATACAAAGGTGATTTTGTCAAATTACTCTTTACATTTGTACTTGAAATAACAAAACTTTAAGTCACTGTCCAGTACATTTGTACTTGAAATAACAAACTTTAAGTCACTGTCCAGTACATTTGTACTTGAAATAACAAACTTTAAGTCACTGTCCAGTACATTTGTACTTGAAATAACAAACTTGAAGTCACTGTCCAGTACATTTGTACTTGAAATAACAAACTTTAAGTCACTGTCCAGTACATTTGTACTTGAAATAACAAACTTTAAGTCACTGTCCAGTACATTTGTACTTGAAATAACAAAACTTTAAGTCACTGTCCAGTACATTTGTACTTGAAATAACAAAACTTTAAGTCACTGTCCAGTACATTAAATTTTGTACTTGAAATAACAAAACTTTAAGTCACTGTCCAGTACATTTGTACTTGAAATAACAAACTTTAAGTCAGTTTCCAGTAATAAAACTATGTCCTATTTCTTGAGTAAACTGCCCTTTATAGTGAATAGGTAAATTTTTTGTGATGTGTTTGATATTTTTAAGCTTCAGTAATTGAGATTACAGACCAGAATAAATAGTATTGGTTGAATCAAGTGATGTATAGATGAAGTATTTTTCTGTGTGTTAGGTTATCTTTTATTCACAACACAAATATATTTTCACCTCACTTAAATAACACTGACACTTAGGGACAGATAGTCACAACATGTATAATTATTTTCAGCTTATAAGTCCCTTTTATTGACTTTATTAGTTAAAAAGTTTCTTAATGGCCATGTATTTAAGTTTTTTGCTTTCTGCCTTATGTATATTAACCAATCACATGTTAAGGAACAACTAATACCATAGTTCAATATTCATAATAAAACATTCTAGATATGTTTCAGAACCATGACTATGTAATCCTGGAAGGTGCAAGACGTAAAGAGCAAAGATGGGATCCAACAGAAAATGGCCAGATTGCTACAGAAGGTAAGAATATATTATCTAAAATAAGTTGTCATCACTTTAGGTCTCAGAAAGTAATTTTGAATAGTAAAATGAGCCCTTATTATGCACCCCTTCGAAGAAGAGGGGGTACAGTGTAACTTCCGAATTCCGGAACTTCTAAAATCCAGAAACTTCTGAAAACCGAACATTTTTCAGGGTCCTGAAATTTTTCCTTCTATTTTCCATGAAATGAAAATCTCTGAATTACGGAACTTCTAAATTCTCAATCCGAACAATTTTCTGGTAAAATTCGGGTTTTATCAATTCAAATTTACTTCCAAAATCCGGACATTGAAAAAGGTGTAAAGTAATATTATAATTGAGATTGTAAAATTTTCAAAATGTCAGTATCTTCCAATAAACAGTAACCATTTATCTTGACACCTTTTAGAATAACAACCTGTCAAGCATGTCAAACACTTGATTAAAGTGTTTAATTAAGAAACTGAAAAGTATAATGTTACATGTTAATAGCCGGTACTACATGAAATATACTAATTAATTAACATTATGCTTTTTATCAACAAATTCAATTATAGGTGATAATGAAATTTAACAAAGATTTAAGTCCTGTAATTTTGCTATTTTAAGAATTTAATCAGCTTCACATAATTTTCATCATGTCTTACTTAAACAATTGATGATTTATATTTCTACCTGTTCAGATAATTTTGAACTTCTGAATTCCGGAAACTTCCAAATTCCAAACTTTTTGGCGAGTCCCACATGTGTTTGGTTTTCAGAAGTTACACTGTATATTGTTTTGCAACTGTCAGTCTGTCTGTCCTTCGGTAGTCTTCATATTTCATATACTGATTGGTCATAACTATTAGACTAATCCTATTGATATTCGGGTCACTAGCTTAAAGGTCAAGGTCACAGGGACCTTGAACGGTAGTTTGATTTCTGCTAATTATCTTGGTAACTATTTATCAAAAAGTCTTCATATTTCTTATATTGAGTGGTTATAACTAGTAGATGACCCCTATTGATTTTGGGTTCACTAGGACAAAGGTCAAGGTCACAGGGGCCATGAATGTTAGAATGCTTGCTCTCATTATCTTCAGGTTACTATTCATTACAAAGTCTTCATATTTCACTTAGTGATTGCTCATAACTAGTAAATAACCCCTATTAATTTTGAGGTCACCAGGTCAAGGTCACAGGGTCATTGAATGGTAGTATGATTTCAGCTCATTATCTTGAAAGCTGATTATCACAAATTCTTCATATTTCACATAGTGATTGGTCATAACTAGTAGATGACCCCTATTGCTTTCGGGTCACTAGTTCAAAGATCAAGTTCACAGGGACCTTAAATGTCAGAATGGTTTCCACTTATTATCTTGAAAACCATTTATCACTGTCTTCCTATTTCACATTCTGATTGGTCATAACTAGTAAGTGACCCCTATTGTTTTTTGGGGTCAAAGGTCAGGGTCACAGGTTCCTTGAATTGTAGTATGGTTTATGCTTATTATCTTGAAAGCTATTTATCACAAGTCTTCATTATTTTTTATTTTTTCCATAACTGAACACTTCCATGTACCCATTTATGGCAAGTTTCTATAACAAAATAACCAATAATGTGAGTCAAGGGCTAGAAAGGGGGGCATATGTGTCTTTCGACATTTCTTGTTATCAATTTAGAAGTTTGTTAATCAGAAGTTAGTTTATCAGAAGGATCTGCACATCTTAAACAAGTCACAATAGAAATGGTTACAGAAACCCCTACAGAAATTGTTACTGAATATCAACAGAATATTGGATAGACTTCTTTTTGCATAAATCTTAAAATATACCATGACCATATTTAGTCACTACAATAATATCAAACAAAAACACTTTAAGTTAATTAAAGGCTACATCATCATCAAACTTGATAGATAAATGTATATGATATGATATATTTATTGTCCTATTACATTTACTAAAAAATATATCTTGCACCAATAAAGGCCAGCATGATTTAATAAGTTCTTCTCATATATCAATAGACAGATCATCACCAAGTTTGACATCCTTTATCCTTGAAGTGTCCATTCTAATGTTAACATATGAAAATTGACTTTACTTCTAATAAGGGTCATCAGAGGTTAAACTGAAAATAACTACTTATTAATCAATGGCTAATGTCCTTATTTGTTCTGTAGCTTTGCTTGACTATACATGTATATTAATATAGATTTATCCCACCCATACTGGAATTGTTTGCTATGTTGGTGAAGGTTTTTGTGTCATTCCAAGGTTTTAGTAGAACCCATTGAGATTGTTAGGTCCAAATGGGTTTACTTTTATGTAGCAACTCTATCTTTGTAAGTGAATCATTTTTTTTTTATTTTATACCTGAAATACTTATGTCCTTCAACTAATCTTGTAATGAAAGGTACTTTACTCTGTCACAGATTTTGACAAAATTACACCCCTTTTCCAACACAAAGCAGCAAGCTTCCAGATTCATGCTAATTTTCATGAAAATTTAAATTGTACTTGAAAGTTAAATATTGTGATACACCTTGCAAAGGGCACTTAACAATCCATGTCAAATACCCAGATGAGATAAGAATATGCATAAAAAGTCCTTATTGCATTAGTAGAAATATTGTGATAAAATTGCAATCTGTAATTAGTCGCAAATAATATGTAAATTATTTCAGTTTCAAATAATATGTAATTATTTCAGTTTGGTACATGTACAATATTCTCAAGTTTGATTTTCTGGAAATATTTTGGCTCATATCTAGGCATAAAGCTTTAAAAGTTAATATACATTCCCACTTACTTTAGAGAGCATCAAAGAAAACATTGATAAGCATAAAAAAATGTTATGTAATATAAATTGCTGAACTATGGGAGAAAAAATTATATGTTGTTTTACCATGAATTCATATTAATTTGTTGAGTTTTTGAGATAATTGTCGACATATAACTTGTGGAAAAAGACATATGGAGGGAGGGGTTTAGATATTTACAAACTACATGGTATATTACAGCATGGCAATTGTTACCTGATTGTTTCAGATAAAGCTGTACAGAAGAAGATGGTTACAGATGCTATGTTTAAGTTAGAACATGGGTCAGATGATATACAAAAGGGCAAGAAAGCAAAGTCAAATATTGGATCTCTGGAGATGAGAAGGGATGAATGGAAAGATGATTATATGCTCAATAAACTAGCAAGACAAAAATTCAGGGTAGGTTTATAGAAGGATACAGTCTCACCTACTGCAAGTTGTTTATTAACCAAGTTTCAAATTTTGAAAATCCAGGTTATTATATTGGTGTTAGGCAGGTGAGCATGAAACAAGATTGTTTCTGGTCAATATCTAAGGTTTAGTTTCACTTATTATCTATTTTAATTTTTTTAGGCCCTTTTAGGGAAATTACTTATCACTTGTCTTAATCAAACTTGGTATATAGGAATGTCACAGGGTGAGAGAAATATGCAGCCTGATAGGGACTCAAACCCAAGACCCTCAGAATACAGTTCTACCGACTGAGCTATCTGGCAGCTTGCACACCTTCTCCCATAAATAGGTAACTGTTCTGAATAGTTAGGATGGTGTTTATGCCAGAGTTAATTAAATTCTTGTTTTTTTAGGATGAAAAGAAGGCAATAAAGGCTGAAGTTGATGGTGACAATGATTTACTGTTGAAATCCTCCTTAGATATACCATTACAAAAAGAGTCAGAGGACGATGTGAAACTAGCTGGACTGATCAAATATAGAGCTCTAGAATGTAGGTATCAGTCATAAAAAACATGTGTATATATATAAATAATTATGTCATATAAATAAATAAAAAACCTGGGTATGATTGCAAAATTAAATTTTATGATTATTTTCTTTAAAGGCATTTATTTGGTTTACTTAAATTGCATTTTGCAGTCCCTTTTACTGACTGGTTGAGGTGGCTTATTTATCTTGAAAAACTACTTGTCCTTCAGCAGATTTAGTTGTGTAGAAAAAACTAGTTTATAGAGAATTTATTTGATTGTGTAGAAAGCTTTAAACAGATAGACACACTCTAGAATCTGTTCCTGGAACAAACAAGTACTGAGGAATATTGTGAAGTTTTTTTGTTCAAGGAAACAATGGCTTGTCCATCATGGGGTTTGAACTCACACAAGCAATCCTTAGATTACAAGTATGACATGTAAACCACACAACCACGTTGCTATGATTTTGTGATGAACTACAAACATTGTTTAGAATATAGAGACATTCAATTGTTTGTTAATATATTTCAAGAACTGTATGAAATGTCAACAGTTGTCCAATCATGTCTTTATTACCTGGAAGAATATGATGATAAATTGTAAAACTCAATAATATAAAAAAAGATCAAAACAAAACAAAGTTCCTAAAATGTAATAATATAGTTATAAAGAAGGTGATGGTTTTATTTTGAAGTTGTTAGATTTTGTTATATAAGTTATATAAGACATATATTTTATAATACTGCACGTTTATATTGTCACTTATTATTGGATTTATATAATTATAATCAAGACATTTATATAGTTTTATATACACGGCTGCTGTTGATTCATGAAGAAATCTTATTTTTTTCTCTAAAAAATAATGCTTGCTGTATTATAAATTTGTTATAAAGATTGTTGACAGGTTATATTGCCGTATATAAACTGTTATTTGCAATATAACCCTCGCCTAGCAGCTCGGGTTATATTTAGAAACGTTTAGAGTTATATAAGACATTATGTATTATACAATTATTGACTAGTGAGCCATTGAGTATGATGTGATATTCACCGGCAGATGACATATTGACCGAGGCGATAAGAAATAAGGCTAAGAAATAAAAAAAAATCACAAAAAGTACAACCTTATATACATGTACAAATTTTGCCTCCTTGAAGCGTTGGAAAAAAGACGCACGTGTTAGGCGTGCAACAACTAAGCAACGCTGAGCATACAAAAATAATTCAAGTTTTATATACTCATCATTGTGGTGTAGCATTTAAGTATAATAGTTAAGTAATGATATTTAAATCGAGAAATATGCCATAAAGAAAAAAAAGCAACAATTATTATTAATTAACAGACGTAATTAACAGTGAACGGTGTATGATCATTAAATACGAGTCTCAATCTATTTTTAGACTGGGAAAATCCAACTCGGCCAGTGAATATGATACTACACCCCGTAAATATGATTTTATAAAAAGTTCTGTTGACTACTGTTTGGACCAATGAGATTGCAGCTATATTTAGATCATATAATAATATGTTATATAAGACATTATATATTATATTACAGCATATGATGAGAGACAGGCTGAGAAGAGAAAGGAGATTGAGAGTCGACCATTGTTTGATACTGGTAATAAATCTGCTAGGATAGAAGTGACATCTCCTAATGATAAAAAACTGGATATAATTAAAAAACATCTGAGAACTGCTAAAGCAAACAATCATTCTAGTCCATTTGATAGAACAAAAATGAACACACTTGGGACTACCATTAGCAAACAGTCGTTAGGAATAAGGAAAAAAAGTCTTCCAAAGTTTACTAGTCCTGTCCAAAATCTATGTGATATAAAAGATAATTTTAGCAAATCTGGAAATGATACAGATACTGAGACTTATGATTGTAATGATGATAGAATGACTGACAATATTAAATCATTACATGACAATACTGCTCAATGT